GATTCTGTTCAATATGCCTGACATCTACAAATAAATTGCTAGCTTATCATTCGCTAATGTTTACATCGAGACTTAAGAGAACACAACAAAGAGAACCAGTGATTACAATCAATTAAAGGAATTCGCTTGAACGACTACGTGAAGTTTTATGGACAGGACAGGCCAAAATTAAGAAAAATGGAAACTGTTGGGCTTGCTCGCTCGTGGAGACTTGCCAGCTGCATCAACGGCAAGCCGACAATGAAACAGCTGATCGAAGTAAATAACATAAAATGGAATTGGCGAATTGTAGAAACGAATGAACCTTAGCTTTATTGCCTGTTTTTTCTCATTTGCAATAGCAGCTCTGCTTGTTCATGAGCCTCCTGCTTATAATTAAAATGCAGTACCTTAAGGTAACGCAGAACGAAATGTTCTACAGCAACGGCAACCGGTACTTCCAGAGCAGACATCATCATGTACTGCGTCGGTGTAAGTTTGCCCAGTACAGCACCCATCGTTATCAGAACCGTAAGCGCAACAAAATCAGCAGTTATGAGGCTAAACGATTTTTAATTAAAGAAAAAAATGTTTCTTGAATTTCTCAGCCTCGAATTTTTGACTGTAAACCAAACATTTTACATTAAAATTGCAAACTACTGGAATTCCACAAAATCTGAAGTATTCAGCTTACTCAAGGATGGAGATCGTGAAACGTCCAGTGCTCGCAAATTCGTGGGAAAAGAAGCCACGAACAATAAGTGCCCACTGTATAGCATGAGCAGTAAGGAGAAGGTTGATCGAAAGCGCAGCCAAGCCGTATCGTCGCAAGAAAACCATCACGAAACCCATGCCAACAACCGTCATGACGTGAACATCTTGGAACACTGGAACACCCGCATTTAGCAAAGCGGCTATGTGACAAAAACGTATAAATCGCCAGCGCACGGGCTGCCCGTGCGAAGATGCTTTTTTGCACAGTTCTCCGAATTTTTTGTCGCTACCGGCACCGGTTTTCCCAGCAAATGCTCCTACCAAAACAAATTAAGACTGGCCATCAGAACTGTCAGGAAACACCCCCCTTAAAATATCAGCTTTCAAGTTTTCCTGGCTTCTGAGTTAGTAATATACTCGAGAAAAAAAAAACTTTCATGGAACGGTATGTGGGTGCCACTCATTTAATACCTACTTGGACGGGGAACATTCTCTTAAGATTTCAGCCTTGTAGCTTCTCAGATTCTCGAGTTATCAACTTGCCCGAAAAAAAAGTATCAGTTCTGTCGCACAGCTGAGAGATCAGACACAGCTCTGTGCACCAGTGGGCTAACATAACAACATTAGCAGCAACAAAATCACCAAGCATAACACTGGCCTTTATAACAAAGAAATTAAAGTTGCCTGTATAATCGAAAATGCCACGTCAGGACACTAGCGACCAGCGTATCTAATTTGGTGTAGACAGCATTTCAGTGACAAGCAGAAGATTTAAAGTCCCTTCCCCCCCACTCCGCCTCATTAACTATAAGTGTGAAATTTCGTATATAATTCAATAAAAAAAGCAAAATCCGGCCAAAAAGTTTGCGCCTACTGAATAAGCCTGTCTTTACTGTACATAGGGTTACTGTACATAGTCTGTCTTTACGAAGATCAGCGTCCTAGAGTCTAGTGGACGCTTAGTTTAGTGAGAGAGTATTGTCTGCATCACTGGCCAGCACTGTTAGTCGGGAACCGCTTAGTATTACG